GTCATGTATAACCTTAATGGAACAAATGACTACATTTCAAGCAAACAATACTGTTGATGGCAAATATGTAGAACACAACTTAGTAACTTAAAACTTGGTAGAATATATAGTAATTATTATTATTACATATTCAACTGACCGTGAAGTTCTTGATTTTCCTGTCTGGCATCTGGCTCTGGACCCACTTGAGAGTAGAGTTGTAGCCTGGGCCGCCCTCCTTCATGAAGTAGGAGAGGTAGGTCATGCCGGAGAGGTCGTCCAGATAGGGCGAGGCCAGTATCTCGGGGTCAAGCACCATAGGGATGCTGAACTCCACCTTGGCGATCTCCATGGCGTTCTTGCAGTTCTCCACCCTGCAACGAGCACACGTCTCACACCTCGACACACAATAGTCACCGACATGTACAAAAAAGGGTAACAGTGGAATCTCTAAAGCGTCAAGTGGTGCACAGGAGAAAAAAAAAACGTGCACATGGAACCTATATCACGTTCCATGTGCTTGATATAGGTTCGATATTCCATATATATACACAATCGATATTACATATATATCTGAACCTATATCAGGTTCCCATGATATAGGGCGCTAAAGACTCCGCTAAATATATGATTACACACACATGGGGTACTTTTTCAGGCATCATATAGCACCAACATTATGGCATTAATCACACAATCTATTTCAGAATCTACTTTAGAGCCCAAACTTAAGATGACGACATAAGAGACCATTCCCATAACATGTCCATCCGCTATTCCTGTTTTCACCATGGACGAAAAACAAATGAAAACGTCACATTGAGTCGAGTCCTTCATCTCTGCTGTCAACAGAGCCGTAAAGTGAGTGACATAACTTGAATAAAGGGATCAAGAATAATGGTACAAGGAAACTGGCAGGAAGAACGGGCGTCTTGGCTGCACTTGGCCCCACGTGGAGGGTGAAGAGTGACTGGGTGTGGCGGGGGAACTCACGAGTTGCGAGGGTTGAGGTTCCTCCAAGAGGTGAAGAGGCCGGGTTTACAGTAGTCGAGGAGCGCGCTCAGGTACACTCCGCTGTTCCAGTCAGAGGTAAAGTTCTGGATGCGACAGTCCGGCAGCGCAGCCTGAAAGCCAATTAACACACACTTTAGTAGCCGCCACTTAGCAATGCTTTCTATGTGGAATTAAAACATTAACATGAAGGTTTTAAGACAATAAAAAGCCACTTCGTGTGGCGCCAGAGGTCCTCCGTCCAGCAACACCGAGTTTAAAGCCTGTTGTATAAGGCAGAGGGAAAGATTAAATAATAATATCCATCATGGGGCGCCTTCCACAACAGAACTACAAGGAAACAGTCAATAGTAGTAACACTATACCACCGACATTATTTTTAGTGAAGGTGAGAAAGAGGTGAAGGCGAGGAAAAGTTGTAGAAATAGAACATTTAGCCAAAGTTAAGATGGCAAGTGGACTGACCGCCTTGTTGACAACAGGTGTTAGCATCTTCTCATTTATGAAGTAGCTGGTGAGCGTCAGTGTGAGTGCGTATGCACAGTTTTACAAGTATAATGGTCACGTAGCACAGTGGTCTTCTTCATCTGTTCACAATCGAGGAAGGTAGCTTCAGTCCCCGGCCAGGACAGAAACAGTTGGACACGTTTCTTTTTCACCTCACCCGACGCCTCTGTTCATCTAGCAGTAAAACAAGTCCCCTGGGGTTAAGATAACTATTGTGGGTTGCAGTCTAGAAGGGGGAGGGGGGGGGGGCAAGGAGGACCTCGAGAGGCGTAAATACATGCTTCCTCTCCCCCCCCCCTCCCTGGCACCCCCTTCACTTGACTTGCCACTCCGTAAGATTGACCGATTAAGATTAAGCAAACTAGGAGGCTAAAGGAGGAAAATATATATATATATATATATTTATCTCTCAGAATGTTCGGTAATATGTTTATTGCTTGTGATGTGTGTCTATGTATGTATTAACACGATGTACTGAACGGGGGTGAGAATAGCTTGAGCTACCTCATTCCTTTGTGTGTATTTTACCTCAATAAACTTATTTCAATTTCAACCAGGAGGCGGCACGGGCATGAATAGCCCGTAAACTCCATCCTCCTAATCTAACCATAACCGTACGAACCCACCTAACCCACCGAGTGTGGTGCAATAGAAAACTTAAGATATTTGTGAGTCCTTGCTTTTCTTGTGTTTCGTAACGTCGGTTAACATAACGTAAAGAACGCGACCTATTATTTGAGAGGACGGGTTGCCTTGCGCCTCTGTCAGCTGGTAAACATGGTTAAGTCTGGCCAGTATCTGGCTGGGTGACCGCGCGAGCAGCCTCGCCCTTGGTGATGGAGAGTGTATTATTTATTTATTTATTTATTTATATACAAGAAGGTACATTGGGATTGTGAGGATACATAGTATAGTAATTACAATCTTGTAAAGCCACTAGTACACGCAGCGTTTCGGGCAGGTAAACCCTAACCTGCTTCCTGTTATTACGTTAAACAGTTGGGTTCCTTCTCTGCTCACAATCGGGAATTCTGGGTTCGAATCCCGGCCGGGACAGAAATGGCTGCGCGCGTTTCCTATCACCTAATGCACCAATTCACCTAGCAATAAATAGGTACTCAGGAATTTGCTTGTTGAGGGGGGGGGGGGTTGCATGTTGGAGAGGGTTAGTAACTACTTTAGAGGGGATGGAACCCCGCCGATATGTGTATATACACACTGGCTGCCTGTCCCCCGATATTTTTAAATTATTTAACCAATGGAGCAAAGTAAAGTTACAAAATTCCACAGTGTCCCCTGCACGTCACCATATCACAGAGAACGGCTCTTGCCAGCATGAACTCAAATATAAGTGATGAGGTCTTTGCCGCCATGTAGTCTGAATGAAAATAAGGAACGGAGAAGGAAAGTAAGGAACTCTTGATGATGATGATGATCATCATCAAGAGCCGGAAACATGAATGGGTACGAGGGGTTACAAATGATAGAACAAGGCCAACAGATGCACAAGGATGAGAAGATGTACAAAAAAATTGTACCACTTACGGGCTATTCATCCCCGTGCCACCTCTTGAGTGGCTTAATCTATATCAATCAATCATCAATCAGTGAATTTGAGCCAGGATAGTCACAGAATGTGTTGTAGAAGAATGGCGAGGTTGTGCACACACCCACGACGTCGTGATATGATTAGTTTATATTAGTTCTACTTATAATTGTCTCACCATCCGAATTTCTTGACGAAAAGTTTACCAATATACGTTTTGCCGCTCCAATGTTAAGCCTAAATTTGTCTTTACAATATACTGCCTTTCAAAGTATCGGCCAAATATCACTCCACGCCTAAAATGATATCTTTATTTTCACTGTTTAGTCAAGTCACTATTGTAATGATTTGTTTAAGTTGATACAAAGTTGCCGATTCTGTTAATGACCGCGTGCTGAGCATTTATGTAGTGTGACTTACACAGTTAATGCACTGTATTTTTAAGTAAACTTTTCAATTATAAATGTATTACCATTTATGAATAAAGTCTTTGATTTTGTTCATATAAAATGCGTCCAACAGTACTCGGTTCCGGGTTCAAGTCTCCTCCACAATAAGCACAAACGGAAACTTGAAAAGGAACAGAAGTTTGCAACGACTGAGGCCCCTGACCGGGGAGCTGGTCGGCCGAGCGGACAGCACGCTGGACTTGTGATCCTGTGGTCCCGGGTTCGATCCCGGGCACAGGCGAGAAACAATGAGCAGAGTTTCTTTCACCCCTGTTACCTAGCAGTAAAATAGGTACCTGGGTGTTAGCCAGCTGTCACGGGCTGCTTCCTGCGGGTGGAGGCCTGGTCGAGGACCGGGCCGCGGGGACACTAAAGCCCCGAAATCATCAAGATAACCTGAGCTACGTGGGTGTGACGAACGAAACTTGGCTGAAGGAACTAGAAAGAATAATGCCACAGTAGAAGAATGAGCGGCGACTTAAGACGGGCATATAAAATACTTTGGGGATCTGACCACGGAAAAAAGTTAAGGTTTTCAATAGATAAGGACAGAAGAAGAGGACGTGGATGGCAAGTAGAGGCACGGGGGGAGTGGAAGAGGTGGTCACCAAGCGGCAGATAGGGAAGTAGAAAATAAGAGGTCAATTCCATACACAATTTCGTAAGATATGACAGAAGACATGCAAGTTGGGAGCCACTGTGTTAGACAACACGCAGTTAAAAGGGCGGAGTCAGTGACTAAGGTCGATTTTGCAGGTACAAATACATCAGTATAAATATACTTACACGCGCGCACACACGCGCACAGACAGACAGACACACACACACACACACAGGCAGGCAGGCAGACACACACACACACACACACACACACACACACACACACACACACACACACACACACACACACACACACACACACACACACACACACACACACACACACACACACACACACACACACACACACACACACACACACACACACACTCATGTGCGCGCGCGCGAGGAAAGGATACAGGGATTAAGCCTCACGTTACTGGAAGACAGAAGAATTACGGGAAAACCGGATTACATCACACACAAATTTAGGAGAATTGACAGGGCGGACTATTAAACACAGGAGGTACTCGCACAAGGGAACACGGGTGGAAACTCAGTACACAAATGAGGCGCAGACATAAGAAATAATCAGAGTAATGAAGAAATGGAATGCACAGAAAAATGAGGCGATGGAGTCCATACACAGCTTCACATGCAGTTATGATAGAAGTCATTAGACTTAAAAACCTGTACACCAGTTGGTTGAATGAGTGAGAGACGGGAGCAACGAGCCGAAGCTCAACCCTCCACAAAGAGAGAACTAGGCGAGTAGAGTCTGACCTTGAGCCAAGCGAGCATCAGCTTCTTGGGTGGGAACTTGGACTGGCCGATCTGGTAGTGCATGATGAGCGACCATATCAACCCCAGGATCAGCTTCAGGTTGCCCTTCACGATGTCCACGTTCCCTGCAACACACACACACACGCCCTCAGTACCAACACACACTGATATGAATTATAGTAATAAATCAAACACTGGTATGAAAGTTAAGAGTGACGACGTGACCGTCCTGGGACATTTAACAAAATTTTGGTCCAGGACGGACCGAAACCTTGTCACTTATCGATACCAACCCATATATTTGAAAATAAATTATTGTGCCCAGTCACGTACTTGTGACTTATTATCTACGATAATAATAATAATAATAATAATAATAATAATAATAATAATAATAATTAATAATAATTTTACATAAATCACACTAACGTGATATATATAAATGAAAAAATTAATTGATAAGATAAAAAATTAAGAGCTCCACCTAATTTTTGTCATTGACACATATAGCGTTAGTGTAATTTGTGTGTCATTGATGGTAGAGTGTTGACCCACTTGACCCACACCCGGTGCCTGTCAGCTGTACGTCAAACTTGGACAGGCTTCAGGCGAGGCCTCCAGACGTCCTGTAGATTCAGTAGAATGCCAGGCTGTGTAACTTTCACAGGTTAACGGTGGTACAGTGGCAGCGGCTGACATTCTGTTGGTCGCCGGTTTGAGTCGCCTAAGAGCTCCACTTGATTTTCTCAATGATAATAATAATAATAATTAATAAAAATATTGGTTCAAGAACAGTGGCAGGGTTTGTTTGAGGTTTCTCTAGTCTGCTATTACAGTTTATCTCGCAATACAAACATTTTAGTGACAGTCTTAGAGAACACATGCTGCCTCACCAACTCTTCATAGCGTCCCATCTCTATGTATATATCTCTCTCTCTCTGTATCTCTCTATCTCCCTCTCTATCTCCCGGACAGACAGCAAGCGGTAAGAGTAAGCAGCTAGGCCCCCTTGACCTTAAAGCTTGGCTGGGTCTCCCCTGTGACCCCTAAGGGAGGCAAAGAGCCAGGAGGTGTCTCCAGACTCACCCAGCCTCCATCTAACGCTCCATGTATGTTGCTAATGTCAGCTACCCGACACGTTGGAGGCTAGTGGTATTTAAGTCCACCGCCAAGTATGATGTGAAAGTTGAGCTTCTCCGCGGAGTAGCTTCAACGTTTCTGGTTCACATCACTCTAGTCTCCAGCTTCCACCTCATGTAGGGTAGACTCACAGCTGTAGCCTATAACACCCAGTTTGTACTTGTTACGCCTCTTGCTTTCGTGGGAGATTTACATTTGTTCTTCTCACCGTGGAGAACAAAGGACTATTCTCCCTGCCTAGTTCTGGTGTCGGTACTCACGCTATTGGTGCACACTTGGTTAATCCTTGGTTTAACCAAGGATTAACCAAGTCCCACAAGAATGATAGTGACCTGCCAAATTCAACATCCCCCACACACACACTCTTCCTTGGGAATAAACGATCTTGTGGATCCAATAACATATTATCTAATGAATTTTCGTGTCGCAGCTTCCATGAATTTAGCTTTCCACATATCCACACACTCACACACATGTAAGGTTTCCTATTCTCTCAATCAATGGTTCCTGTCATAATCACCGAGTCCTTCACAACCTGGGTTCCTTGTATGCTCAATCCTTCCAGATTAACAGTGCCAATCCCACTCTGCCTTTCCTCCCCACTCTTACAACATGGTAGTCTTGGGAGAATACTGTAATATGAATCTTGACAGTTTTGTTTCTGGGTCTACAATTACATCCGGGTTTTCCCCATTTGTTTGTGTCCCCGGTTTAGTCGCTTATTTGTAATTTAATCAAGTATTGGAGTACATGACTTTAAAGCTCTCGTCTTTCTTTTGCATTCTCACAAGTATCCTCGTCTGGTCTTCTCAATGAAGGTAATATTTGCTTAGGTGATCGATGAGGTTTGGGGAAGAGTTAGGGCTGATTTATTGTTAAATGGGGGGATTTAAGGATGAGGCAGGAAGACCGGGTCGGGGGATTGAGTAGGGGGAAGGTTAAATGAAGCTGGTGGGCCTGGGTCCCCCCCCCCCCCCCCCACCATCCTTCCAAGTCCCTGCTCCTCTTCTCTGCACCTGAAGTTCTCACTTCTTGGTCATATTCCTCTTTGGAGGATTTTTTTTTGTAGTGCGGTATATGTTTTAAGTGTGTGTGTGTGTGTGTGTGTGTGTGTGTGTGTGTGTGTGTGTGTGTACTCGCCTAGTTGTGCTTGCAGGGGTTGAGCTTCAGCTCATTGGTCCAGCCTCTGAACCGTCAATCAACAGGTGTACAGGTTCCTAAGCCTATTGGGCTCTATCATATCTACACTGTGTATGGAGTCTGCCTCCACCACATCACTTTCTAATGTATTCCAGAGTGTGTGTGTGTGTGTGTGTGTGTGTGTGTGTGTGTGTGTGTGTGTGTGTGTGTGTGTGTGTGTTATAAAGCACAAACGCAGGTAATTGTAAAGTAGAAAGTTATGGCGGGTATCGGTGGTGGGCGGTGTGGTGACGAGTGGGGGGGGGGGTCAAGGCCGTCGCCGCCACCTGCAGGAGTGAGGGAGGTCACAGTGGTCAAACGGGCCCCACAAGCCTCACGGGTCACACAGGCAACACAGGTCACAGGCTTCACGGGGTCACAGAGGTCATCTTGCGCCCGTGACACACTCCAGCACGTTCTCCATTTTTGGAGTAAATTGCGGCATCACACTCTCCTCTCACCAGACAATAACTCTCCACTTCAGAGGCACTCACCGCTGCTGGCGGCTACACCGGTAATAAAAATGACACCTGTCACACCTGTCTCACCTGACACCTGTCTCACGCCTGCGACCCGCCAGGACCCCGTCACTTTCACACCCAACACTTGCGCCATCCCACCCATTCTCTCAGCACAGCAATTATCTCTTATTTTCACCATTACTGCAAGGAAACGGTGGTATGGACGGGTGTGGGTGGACGGGTGTGGGGCCCGGTCTGCAGCGCCGCCAGGAGGGCCTTCCAGAGGGCCTGCGGAAGGCGCCTTCCAGAATACCTCTCTATAGGTGGTTCCTCAGACTGCTGCTTACGTGTAACATTCAGGCGATTCGTCTTTTTTGAGCAGTAAACGTGGGGGGAGGGGGGGGGAAGGAGGGGCGAGGGTGTACGAGGACGACAACCCCCCCCTCCCTTGTGGCCGGGGTGGGGGTGGGGGGGGGGGTAAACTGAAGTATACCGAGAATGAGGTGGTGAGAGACGAGTACCCCCCGCCCTCACACCAAGTATACTCCATGTCAACATTCCTTCACCCCCGCCTGTTGGGTTTACAAGGAAGTATTGTTTTTTCCCGGAGTTACCCCAAGGCCACAACACCCCGCCTCTCCCGGGACACATACACGTTGCTGTTGTTTAAGATTCAGTTACTGGGAACTAAAAGTTCCAAGTAGCACGGGATATGGTGAGCCCGTGATAGATTTACCTGGCACAGGAGCGGGGCTGAAACTTCCCCCCCCCCCCTCCACACACACACACACACATACATATAAACACATATATACACACCCGCCCTCCTGACTACCTCCACCACTACTCTTTCTTCCCGCCACACCTTCACGCACATATGGCCAAGTCTACGCTCAAGTTAACGTTCCCACGAGAGGTAAAAAGATGAACGATGATTGGCTACTGAAAATAAAAAAAGAGCAGAAACCACCTTCCTGTCGGAGGGTCGTTTCATAGCAACCAATTCGCTTGTAAACAAAACTCAAAGTGTAGGCTTACATTTCCAGAAAAAAAAGACGACACAAACTATACACAAAGCATAATATTATAGCCAAACACCGGCTGTATAAAAGGCGGGAAGGTAATATGAATAATGGCAACCCCAGAGGAAGCGGTTAGCCGCCCGGTGTTGTCAGACGGAGATCATATCATTGTTGCCACCATGCACAATACACAGTGTTCATTGCTATAGTACAGGCGACGTAAACTGCACATTCAACGCCCGTGTGCCCTCGGTGCACAAGGGTGACGTGACAAGGTGGTTAGCGACTCCGTAATGATCACAGCTCCTGGTTCATATAGTGTACCACACGAGGCAAGTTTTGCTTGCACGTTGGTTTGTTGCTGTGTTGAATCACTACTGGTTTATTCAGACAACTTTCTAGTCTCAACACCCGATAGTTGCGCGTCTGTAGGGTGTCTTCTGCTCGCTGCATGGGTCACTACTGTCAGACGCCAGAGTGAGACTCCAGTGTTCAAAAAATTTTGTTTTGCAACTTCTGCCAGTTTAGCTCTCCTTATCTGTTATCCTCTTCTCGGACCCACTGATTCCCAATCAATTTGCCTATGATTGAAATCACAAATTTCTACCCTCTTTCAATTATCCTTAGGTTGGGAGTAGTCACAATGAGGATAGGTATTCAAACCCTCTTTTTTATTCGCGTGTTCTTGTCTGGAGTCTTCTGTGCTTCATTAGAGGGTTGTAAATCACAACCACAACCCCACTCCTCCCACCGAAATAATTCCTGCGAGACACTCTTCGTTATTGGCAACTCCTTCAAAAGTGCTCACATCAAACCTGAAGACTCTGGACCACAAGTGCCACTCCCCCTCTTCTCCCTTTGATCTATTTATTTTCTGATATTGTCTGGGGGGAATATTGCATTAGTAATCATTTCAATTATTTTTAGTTTCAACCCGTTATTGCTATTATATCGGGGTTTGCTTTACCAATCTCTCTCGTTTGTCACTTCATCTGCTTTGCTTGACATTCCATCAGCATTAGGGTACCAAATCACTAGGCTCTATACATATACTCTCTCTCTCTCTCTCTCTGTGCGTGTGCGTGTGCGCGTGTACACACTCAACCACTTGAGACTGAAGATCTTGCCCCACGAAAAACACATGTGGGGGCAAGGCCTTCACCAGATTGACACGTGTAGTGGTGTATCCACGCGGGCACCAGGTGTGGACAGGTCTAGAGTTCCTGCAGTTAAGGCAACAGTTATGGGGACAGGTGTAGCTGCTGGGATCATCAGGTGTGGAATATAACTGTTGGGATCAACAGGTGTGGAATATAACTGCTG